TAGTGACTTAACCTTCATTCGTAAACTAATCCGTTTACCCACTCACTTTCGCAACCACCCATCCACCGCTCACACCCAGACAGTTACACAAATTATCACAATGAAATCATTTTATTATGAACTATTTTTTCGCAATTGTGTCTCCTTTTAATCACCTGTTTTGGTCTGTCATAAAATGTGCTGCATTTGGTCAGTAAACATAGCATCGAAAACGAACTTGTCTGCCAAGCTCTATTCTGTTAGGTATATTGGTGTCGGATATCGTGTCGAACAGTTATAACTCGGGGTACGGATGTTCATGTTGTACTAGGGGATTCTTTCCTTTAGACGTGCTTTAGTGTCGTCTGTATGATCAACTTCGTAAGCCCATTTAGAGGAATCGGTTAAACTGACCCAGGTTATTCAAGTGACTGGCCAAAAAAGGGCCCCAATATGATAGGTTTGGTCTCCAATAGCCAAAGCAATAATAACTTCATAAGATGATGATAACCCTGGCTTTCTGCTTTTTCAACCTTTTAGATGCGTGTTTTGGATCAGAAAAACAGAGCGGAACTTGGTGGAATTCATCTGTCAATCACAGCCTTAGAAAACACATGGACTCACGCCAGACGTAAGCGACGAGAAGCCCTACGTTTGGCAAAACATTCTGCCACCTCAGATGCATCTCTATCACAAGAATCTCGATCACCTACTCCGCCTTCTGTTCCTATGTCTACAACAACCAATGGGGTTTCCAATCCCAACGCCGGTTCGAAGCGTACTCACACTGAGGTTGAAGAGTCGGTCAATGGCGAACCGAATGTGCAAATGCCCACGGAGGCATCTGAAGAGACTGGGCCTCATGCAAATGAAACAAAACGTGCGCGGCTAGTAAATGAGGTTTGTGACGAGGCGGATGCCTGGTATGAAGAACTTGCGCACGTCGTGCCTCAGGCTTCTGAGGACAGTCTTCAATTGAGACCTGAACCTATTATTCAAGCAGATGTGTTTGTCGAACTGCACGCTGATGACACGACACATTCGGACAACTCCGAAGCGGAAGATGATCAAACATTAGTTGAGTCCAGCTTGAATGGCCCACTGGTGATTAAAATCGCCTGGGTTAGTGGCACGTGTCGTGAAGCGGCCAATCAGATTCTATGTTATTTGAAAAATCGTCTTCGATAACGAGGACGACAGTGACGATTGTAAATAAACATTTTCTATTCATTCTTTCCGGTTATTTTTATTTTGCAATGTTGCTATGGGTCATCTGATGAAAGGAATGTAAATTCCTTCCCATCCTCGTTCTCGTCCAAGTGATTCTAATATACGATCTTTCAAACTGTGGAGTATATTTGCCATAGGCTTCTGACCGTGTCAGTATCTGCTATGTGCTTTGGTATGGTATACCAGTTTTGTACTACTAGCGAGTATTACCGATATGTTTTGACTTGGTCAAACTTATGATAGGTATCATGGCTCTTTTGTTAGGCCTTACCATACTGTCATTATGTTCTTAGGGTATACCTAAAGTGGGATCTTTGAATTCCTTTAATTATCTAAACAGTTCTACAGAGCACATTTCATTTGTTGTATTATACTTAAATCTTCAAAACGCTCGATAACGAGTAGCTCATCATCCTGCGAAACGTACTTACGATATTAATGACGTCAATTCACTGGGATTGCCCTAAAGTTAGTTTTCTGTCGGTGATTTGAGTATCAAATTTCAGTGCGGAGAGAAAAATTTCTCCAACTGTACTGCATGTTCTCAACCGTTTCCCCTGAAAACTTTGAAGAGAAAAGTCAGTACAGCAACATCGTCCGATTAATGTCGTGGACGAATTCGCTGCATAAGTTGAATAACCGAATTAGTACTGTGGGGTTGGGTCACCTACACAGAGTCAGTCTGAGGAACAAGTCCTTTAGCTAACCAGAAGGGGGTTTCCACCGGATGGTTGCAATCACAAGCGATTTCGAGGACAGGTCACCCAAAATGCTTTCTGTTGATGGACGTGGTGTTGCTTGCTCAACAAGTGTTAATGATTGGGGCGTTTTATTTGCACGGTGCATTTCGGTGACCGGCTACGCTTACCCCGACGTGGCTTCGTATTGAATGCGGCTATAGGTGTGCTTCAGAACTCTACGCAATTGTCGCACCCTCACGAATTTGTTATTCAAATTCGATATGGCGTACAGAAGGGGGCTTAGTGCTTCGTGTATCGGGCGATTCGGCGTCCGACGCTCGCGGTGTTGCTGGTGTTGGGATTACGCTTATTACCAAGGCTAAGTTCCCGCTTTCTTGCGGGCCAGACTTTTGAATCAAAGGTTCCGGTTAGGGTTCCCAAAGAAAAACCCCTTCGTCGGTGTGGGCTACCGCGAAGTATGTCGTGTCCTAAAGTCACCCATTTGGAAAACCCTCCTTCCCATCTGTCTAGTTCTTTCTCTCAATCCTGAATAATCCCAAACGCCAGCTCTTTACAAGACCCATCGGATATCACTCAGCGTTTTACCTACAAGTCCAAAGAATCAGATTTTACAGGATTTTCGAAGCCAAAATTCCCTTTTCACTTAGCCGTCTTCTATGTCCGCTTAGTATCAGGTTGGTCAACAAGCTGCCTTAGCTAGAATCCTTGAAACGTTCAACCTAGATATATGTTGTGTGTCCGAAACACGCGTACAAGACCCCACTTCCATTATCTCCCTGCGTTCTCCTGAGCCAACGTCACGCCCCACCCTTCGTGTGTCAGGCGATTCGGCATCCAAAGCTAGCGGTGTTGCTGGTGTTGGGATTGCGCTAAGTTCCAAGGCTGAACGCTCGGTTCTCGACTGGATTTCAGTCAGTAACCGACTGTGCGCCGTACGTCTCAACGGTTCAGTACGGGTCAACAGCTACAGAACGAAGTGTCGATGCTTATTCGTCGTATCGGTGTATACACCGACCGATTACAATACACCTGAAATTAAGGATAGATTCCGCAACGATCTTTCTCAATTGTTCGATCAACGAACTTAGTAATATTCGAGGAAACTTCACTGCTCATGTGGGATTCCTGGACGAATCAGAAGGGCTTCATGGTGGTCCACGTTTAATCTCGGATAACGGAGATCACCTGCCCCAACCCTGAGCGGACCACGGATTGTTTCTATCAAGCACCAACTTCTCACCTTACATGGAAACCACCAACCGCTTCACAGCGATGGATCCAAATCGATCACATCGCCATCAGTTCGATGTTCATTAGCTATTTACGGATGTTCCCCTGAAGGGAACAACCGTCTCTTTGTGTGAGTAAATTAAACGGAAAAATATGAATATCGGAATTCCATCGGATCGCTTGAGGAAACTCTTCCAAAGTGCTTTCAGTGTTCAGTTTCACTTCTACGGTTGCCTGTATCGTAAAGAGGATAGAATAGCTGATGGTTTATCATTAGTCACTGTATTGGCAGGTATATTCATGAAAAATCTAAAAAAGAGATACCGTTCATCATCATGGAGCAGTGTGTCCCGTAAAGGCTTTTTGTCGATACTATTTGTAACATGAGAGTAATAGGGATTTGATTCAGCTTTAAAGAGTGAATTCGTCGTGTGCAGAAATGAAATCCTAGGAAACACCAGCTATTCCAACCTGGTTGCTTCTCGTCAGCAGTGCAGACCCATCCATCGACCTCGAGAGGCCATCGGTAGAACACAAGCCTGTGGTCGAGTGGGTAGCTTGCTTGCGTTCTGCGTGTGGGTTCCCGGTTTGGCTCCCCAGTTGGGTTGATGAATTCGCACTACTGATGAAACCCAATCAGCTCGAAACAGTTGTACAGTGCTTCCTAGGATTTCAGTTCACTCTT